TACGCAATAGGCTCCAAATTCTATTTTAGTAATATAGTGACTGGAATAATTATATTTCGATTCGAAGTTTCTAGATAAATAATGAATAAAAAAATTGTGCAGGAGCTTGATATCAATAAATAAATAAATAATAACAACATATCATCACGACTATAATATAGGGTAGTCAGCGTGTTGTTTTGATGTCGACCAGTCATGAACTTACGATTAAAAAAATTGAGGTCTGTATATCAGAGTACTAAATAAACTATAAAAATACGACAGTAATGGAAACACTAGTATATGTACATAAATTTAAAAAATCTGTCATGGAAACGTCATTTAAAGCTTTATAACTAATATGTTAAATTAAAAGTTTCCGATTAAATCGGTATCGCAGATAAGTGTAAGTAGTGTATTGCTTCTAGTGCGATTTTTGATACTCGGTTCAGTAATGCCGATGCACTTGAAACTAAAGGGCAAAGTTTATATTCAATTATAAGACCTGTCATTTTATATGGATCTGAATGTTAGCCTGTAAAGGGGATGGACAAAAGTCGTGTGCATGTGGCAGAAATACGAATGTTGAGATTGATGTATGGGGTAACCAGGAATGACAGAATAAGTAATGTGTATATACGAAGAAGTTTGAAAGTTGTGCCTGGTATAGAAAAGTTGCATGGTATCAGATTGACTTGGTATGGGTATGTAATATTATATTATCTGTGGTATGGGCATGTTAGGCGGAGGAGCGAGTACAATGTTTATATATGAAAGTATATAACATGTACGTGCATGGAAAGGGAGAGGACGATCGAAAATAAACGCCGACACCAAAATAATGGGATATAGAAAAAGGCATTAATGAGTATATAAGTAAGTAAATAAGTAATTTAGTAGTGTTACACATACTTCGGAGGGATATATACTAGGTCTTCCTACTCAGGAAACTTTTTTGTACCTATTTGTCTTTTCTCATTACAAGCATCGAATATATTTAATTTTCGAAATTAATAATGATTCGATATCTGAATAACTAGTTACAGTTCAGAGTCAGTTAAAGAACAATAAATATGTTTGCATACAGTCATTTTCCGGACTTCTTTAATAGCCATCGATGATTGGATTTATAACAAACATAGTGTAATGTATGTATGTACGAGAACATTACACCACCGATTTCAATGTTAGTTTACTTTTCGTTACGTATCATGAATTTATTAATTCTGCACATAGTGTAGGCGTTTGAAATATTACAAAGAGATTTAGGTAGTATCTTTATCATGTTACTAAATACTGAAATGAACCAGCAAAAACATATTGTATATTACTAAATTAGTTAGGCATATATGCACGTTTTTAATTCAATTGTTTTTTGTAAATAAATAAAAATATGACAAAAATGAGTCGTTTGAAAAGATTCAATACACTGCTTACTGGAAATAGTAATGTAGATACATATATAAGCGTTATGTTTAAACATTTGTTTACGTAGGTACCTCAGTCTCACCTATAACAGCCGCCAAGCAGCTTCCTTTGTAAGCTGGATTTCGGTTGAAGGTGGCAATTAAGAAATTACAGAAAACAGACACGACCTCTAAGTCCTCTAGAATGCAGTGTATGAGTGTCCTTATCACGGGTATCACATGATAACTTGATGTTCGTAATGGCGTTCATAATCAGCTTCGGTTACGATTTACCATCAGGTGGGCTTTTAACTTGTTTGCCATTCTAATTATATAAAAAGAGAGATACAAGCTAAAAATACAATATCTACTCATTTATATCTACAAACAGTTTTTCATCTTAACAACAATCTGCCAAACAGAAGAGGAAACGCCACTACACATCCTATGTGGTTGTAGCTCACTTATGCATAAACGAAATAACCTTTGGAAAGTATACGCTATACCCTGAGGAGATAAAAACCATCGCCCTTAAGAATATCTTTCAATTCTTGCCCCTTGTCTTAACACCTTATAATATCTGAAAACCTTCAATAAAAAAAACATCCATGCATGTGGTCTGTAGTCAATTTAAATCAACGTCGATTAAGGAGACGTTGCGATGATCTAAATGAATTGTCAGCATTGGCTCAGGAAATTGTCCATCTCGATATCTCGCAGGATGTGTCCGCTTTGTGTGGAGGCGGCATTGTATGAGTACGAGAGCGTCTCGCCTCGCTCAGGTAAACAGCGTGTCCGTTCTGCATTCAGCGAACTACATATCTTGTAGAATTGAGAGTAATTGTATGTAGGTAATATGTATCTTATAGGACTTTACGAAATGAGTACAGCAGAATTGCTAGATGTATGTGTACGTATTTATATTTACATCATGGTACTTATGAATAAAATAAAAGTATATTCTTTTAGTTTAAAACTACTTTTAAGGTGAGTTTCTTAGTCAAGTTTGGTATTTTGGTAAACCCATTTGGTTGTGAAACAATTTACAATCAACAATGCCCAAAAAGTAATACATGGTTCGAGAAATCAACAAATTATAAATTATGCAATTAACGCGCGAGAGTTATAGGGCGCTATTATATTTTCAAATATATAATTTATATTTATTCAAGCAGTAGTAATTTATATTATATTTTCTATAATATTGATACCTGAATTTAAATGTTTTTAAATAAACTTATAAGATGAGAAAGATTAGCTAGTAAGTATATAGAACGATAGCTGGTAACAATAAAATAGCTACTCTCACGGTTTGAGATTGTAATGTAAATTTAAATGTACACCTTAGGTAGTTTAGTGTTTAGAAGAGTATTAAGCAATAATCCATCCATACTAACAAATTTTCAAGTTCATAATATTACGTATGCTATGGAATTTAATGAATTGAGATTAAAGGCTATTATTATTATATTACCTTGTTGTTATTAAAGTTTTGAATTCAATTATGTAAAAGATTTGTCCAACCATGCATTCAATGACATAAATCTTTGAAAAAACATTCAGTTGCTTTGCTCACTTATCACGTAAACATTTACGGATTTGAATGAACCTTTTAGAGATCATGTCTTGAATTAACACAATGGACAAATTCTGTCCCAGTAACGCATTCTTGTGGGTGAATGTACAGTTAAATTCCTCGCGGACGAGGTTGCTGGTACGGCTACTGGATAAATACATGTCCTCGTCCGTTGATTTGCAAAAATGAGCATCTTCGAAATTTTGACACGTTCCTTGCTTACCTGTGACTGTAATAATTTAGTAAATACTCGTATGTCCTCTAAATGATTGTTGTTTACACCATTTGTATTCGGTTCTGAAAATTTATACATAATTTGTAAAGACAATGATTACTATATTTGGTTGTCATTTATATTATTAAATTATTTAACTTAATCAATCAATGCAGTAAATTAAATTGATTGATTGTAGGTGTAATATATCAAATATAATTTTATAAATTTAATACAAAGAGTATTGAACGTAAATCAACAAATAAACAGAAAATTTGTCGGAAAAGAGTCGAACTTGCATTTTGAGGGTTATATGTTTTGGACGTTAGTAATGGCGATTTATATTAGAGTGAATAGGCACTATTTGAGCTTGCGTATAACAGCTTAGACCACATCATCACTTAATTTCAGGAGAGTTTGCGTTCAAAGGCGCTCAAATTTGGAAAAAAAAGAAAACGATATATGTTAATCTGAATCAAAATAAATAACAAATACTGTATCAAATCTACAACAAACAGATTATCCTACGATTATTCACATAATTTTGGGTTCTATACTTTTGCATTATATTGCATAGGTACCTTCCCATCGAAGTCTCTGAGTTTCATCCATTTCTACTTGCTTATTTGCATTGTAAGGAATGTTTCTAATATAGTCTAATATATAATAATAATAAAAGTTAAGCAAAACTTGTGTTATATTATGTTATCACTACTAATATAAATACTCAAATAATATTTTTGTAAATACATACAAATTACACAAAGAAACTGGCTAATACAACAATCATAATTATGAAAACAAATGTTTGTGTGCGTGCGTTTAATTGAACTTGAGACCATCTGAAGTCAGACGGTGTGCTAAATATTTAGACCACCGAGGCTATCAAATAAATACTTTATAAAGAAGCATTACTCCTTTATTCCTAGTGCTTAGAATTGTGAAGCATCTGTCCTAGTGTATTTTATGACGTCCGTCACTTTCAATCCGGTGCACATTAGTGTTTATTTATACTTAATGCGTGTATCTGGTTATATATGTAATATCAGCGTAATATTATCACCTTTGTACAGGACCGTCTTAAGCATTATGCAGAGTAGGCAACTGTCTAAGGGCCCCGCCTCGCCAAGGGGCCCTGCGTAGACACAAAGGAAAATACAATAACAGTAGGTACCGTATTATTGCTTTTTATCGACATATGCTGTCGATTTAGATAAAATACTTGATACTTACAATACAGTAGCATCAGGAACTAATAATCTGGATGGGTTATGTAACTATTTTACTTCAAAAAAAACTTTTGACTTTTACTCACATCCCTTCATTAGTTTGCAAATTGCTGATCAAACGACTTATATAATATAAATATAAAATGGCATGTTACCTTTTCAACACGAAATAATAAACTAATAACTAAAAAAGATATAAAAACATCTTAAAGAATTTTCCTAAATTAATTAATTCAAAAAAATTCATTTCATATAACATTGAACTAACCCTTATCAACACCATTTTCTCAAACTTTATTTGTATCGCGTAGGAGCCCCGACATGGGTAATTCGGTTCTGCCTCTGTGTTTACGTTCAACAATACGAGTATGTCTGAATGTTTGAGAAAGGTGGATGTGGCAACCGTATGTAATTTTGAACATAATACTTTTCAGGTGCAATATAAATAACATATACGTAGCTATTGCATTAAGATAAATATTGAATATAATAACTTATTTGGGCTCATTGTGCTATGGCTACGGTCTCGACAGGGTGGCGCCAACGCGTCTGCATTCTCGCTGAGATTCGTTGCGCATATCTTGTGCTCCCGCCAGTCGTGCGTCAGTGTTCGCTTTTGCGCTGCACTATGCAGCCCCATAAAATAATCATCGCATATTTTTGCATTACAATCACATACATTAGTGCAAAGAACAGTCATTCAGGTGGCCATGGACACAGTACAGGATCGAGAGGACATTCGTATTCAGGGCACTACGTCCATTCATATCACGGATATTTCTCATATCATCCACCGAGCCATATTTACTATCAGTGCCGTTACTGTACTTCGCCGCAATCTTACCCCGTGTACCATGGCTCACCACCCACATACGTCTTCAAGTATAGAGAATCTGGCGGTCACTTTGGACATTTATTGAGTGGTCTTGCTTTGTACAATTTAGGGAGAATATTAGGTGAACCGCAACACCATTCCAGTGTACATTATACGGCGCATAGAAAAGAAAATTGTTCGATCCAAATTGTTGATCACGAAAATTTTGAGGAGGCCTCGTTCCCCTGTTTCATGATGTCATCTTTTATGAAGAATTCTATGGAAAAACAAAACACAAGTGCGGAAACTTTTGATATATCGTCGTCTCAGATTCACATACATCCAAATATCACCACTGGATCACCATTGGAAGTGACGAATCGCCTTGAGTGTACAATTTGGCACAACTCAACTACGAATCGAGAAAATTATACAATGCCGTGTACTTTGTTGAAACAATACGCAGATACAGTGAAGGCTGGTGGTCTACCTGTATACATTTGGCTACCATTGCTGTTAGCTGCGGTGATCTCCATTTATATGTGTTGCCATTGCTGCAACAGGAATAATAAAGAAGATTCAAAGGAAAAGGCACCACTGAGCCAAGTGAATGCTGTGACTTACTGTTCTAATTAAATAATAGGTGTTAAATGGCAAATATACACCTCTAAATTTATGTTTTAAGGTATTATAATGTTAGCTGAAGGTACGATATACGTACGTCAGATTTAGTATAAATGAAACGCTTTAGTAAACACTTATTTAAAAATAATTATGTAAAATTAAAAATGTAACAATTTATATAATCAATATATGTATGGAAAAATATGAATAGATAATAAAAATTATTCGTAGGGAAGTGTCGTAAAATATTTTAATTTTCAAAAATAAACAAATGGTAATATTTCAGAAAAGTAGCTACCTTTGTAACGAAATAAAATATTTATGAAGCGGTTTCTAAATTTTAGTGGTAGATATGAGAATTTGATTTATAATTTTCATTTAGTATAAGAACAGTGTTTCAATAATTATTCTGTTATTTGATTGTTTTTGAAAATTGACAGACATTGCTAATATTGAAGACTTCGATATGTATACTGTTAAGAATTAAGTTTGCTATCAATACCATTGAGTGTTCTTGTATTATAGGTGTACCAGTGTATCTCTAGAGAGTCATTTTTCCATATACTTATACAACTACTACTCAATTCTGGGAACAAATTCCAATTCAATTACATTGAATTGCTCCTTTTATACTTCTCAATAAAACTAGCACCGTTTTATAAATATATTAATATTCCACATTTTTGTATTGAAAGAACTGACATTATTATAAATTTCTTATGATTAAGTTTCAAAACAACAGTAAATGAACTGGTTCATTTAATTGTTTTGAAACGATATATGTAATATAGTACTAATATCGTATAATTTGAAAATATCGATTATAAAATCGATATTGAGATTAATCTCTAGAAAAGACTTGTTGGAAAGATGATATATTCATTTCGCCACACATGTAGACCATGAGGTAAAACTGTTACTTTTGCAATTTATATTAATATATAATTAAATAATGTAATACATAGTCGTTGTTTTTTGTCTGAAAGATTCTGTAAAATTAGGCTACAAGAAAATTATAATGTTGTTGCAAAGTTAAAAGAAACTTCTTAATAAACTAACCTAATAATTTTGCGAACATGTATAACGTAAAAATATTAGACTAATTATCCAAGGTTTCTTTAGTACATTTAATTTTGTTTTTATGTCTACACATAATTCTATTTTATGTTAAAAAAAATCTGGATAAATCGATGAATTTAGAAGATTGCATTAAACAATTGAAAACAGTCAATGATGAATAAAAATAAAATACAAATTTATGTTATATATAAAAATATATAGCCTTTAGTTAAAAATTTCAGTTAATTTCAACATTCTAATATATTTACAATTTTACAATGAATGTTATATAGATATATCTAACCATAGCGTCTGCAAAATTTTACCTCAGGTCAACATTTCTGTGTTTTTCTATCTTGTGAGATTAATTGGAATCGGAGGAATATAGCCTCCAACCGACGAATTAATTTACCTTTACGAATCAAGGCATTTTATTTTGTGCGTAAATTGAATTCGTTCCCGACGAAAGCATAAATTCTATCACTCATATTCAATCAATTCTAAAAATTTTCACTCGAATACTCATCAGAGAGGGATTTTTATTGTTAAAGTTTAAGTAGTATTCAAATTGTGAAAGTAAATGCAAATTAAACTATTTTTCTTATTTAGATTATACAAGACTCTCAATTGTCGCTACTAAAGACAATGAAAAAGACTTTTAAATTCATATTTTAGGAGTGATAATTATAAATATCGTCTTATCTATGTGTATACTCCAATTAATCCGAGAGGGAGAGGGTAGCTTACGATCCACGTCATGGGGTATTTTTTTTTATATCTTTTATTGGAGAGTTATCATATTTATATTGACACACAGTTTTTTTTGGACGTAATTTAAGATAGTTAACAGCTAGGCCATGATGCTCTCATTATACTCAATGGCTTTATAAAATTTTGGTTAATTTCACTACCCTTTGCATTTGTGAGAACACCAACATTCTGTGCGGAAATCTGACCATCGTCACTAGAAGCGTTACGACCTTCTCTATTAGTGATCAAATTCCGACCGTTATTAAACTTATACATATATTGCGACACGTGTTGTTCTGAAGGAGGCATCATCAAGCAGTATATGGAACTCGGATATCAGATGTAGCTTAAAAGCTTTGACTGGTCGGCAACCACACTACGACTATTATGCTGTTTTTAAATTATCTATAAGAACTTACGTCTGCTAGGTTTAAAACATAAGTGCAAATCATATGTCCGCTAGGTTTAAAAACATAAGTAAGTTTATTTCTAGTTTTACTGAAAAATCGATTCACAGTGTTCCCGAGCGTTTGGACCATAGACTGAGCGAAGTATTGAACTAATAGCATGATTTTCACAATTCATCATTCATGAGAGGTACTTCTCGTGTTGTATTCGTGAAAATCATGCTATTGTAAATGAATAATAAATGCAAAATAAATTACTTCACATTGCGAGGAAACAAGATTCAGAATTGTTTGAACGTATCTATAAGTGGACTTACATGAAGTGGACATGAAATCTAATCTGTAACTGAATATTATATTGTTCTGTGATTAATGTGGTTTTGTTACATGTAATATTACGTCATATGTATGTATTATGTACACTCAAGAGGTCGTCTAGCAGACAAGTATCAATAAACTATTATCTATCTGTCGGTACAACTTTGTTTTCGAAATCGGATTTTTCATGTAGACCTTGATTATGTAATACCGATTAGTATCCATATTTTGTTATCTATTCTTTAAATAATACTATGTAATCTCATAAAAGGACTGTTCATTAGTAATAATAATAGGCACTCAGTTAAAGTTATAATACTAAGTAGAATAATCAATAATTTATTCCGGGGTTAAGTAGTATTGTGCCCTGGATAAGATCTGTTTTTTTTATGTATAATGTCAAGATTATGTATAAGATATATACATATATATATCAGTATAATTAGTAAAAATCACGGAATCTTACCACGTTTTATATTTATTTGCTGAGTTCCCAAACTGATATAAGTTTACCCGTGATCATGGTGGTTGAAACACTGCCGAAATATCGGGAACTCAGCAAATAAATGTAAAACGTGGTAAGATCCCGTGATTTTTTACTAATTATGCGTATAAATAATGACCGCGTCAAGTTTAAAACAGTATATATATCAGTAGTTATATAATTTTAACTTTATTATTTAAATGACAGCCCACTCGATGGTCGACTGACACCTTGATGTTATTTCTTATCTGATTTGATGAGTCTACATGAGTGGTTACTATTAAATTTCTTCTTCAGCAACATAGTGAGAAATCTAAAACAGTACAGGATACAAATTCATAGCCACTGACCTTTTATTTAAGCCTCAGTAATCCAATAAATCACGATGCTTTTCTATTAAATCAGAAATGACAGCTGATATATAGGGAGAAATGGAAGAGGAAAACATGCTGCGCCACAAATAATAGAATCAGGAATTTATTGGAATAAATTTGTACCGCCAACAATATTCTTTCCATTACAAGTCCCGATTGGTCATGCTTGGCATCTTATTATTTTCACATTAAAATAGTTTTTAGAAAAAAGATGCAAGAGATTTCTTTATAAAATCCTATTTCGTATGGTGCGAACAAGAGAATTAATACATATAGTATTTATTTTCACAACAAAATTTCCACATACCTTTCAGAATATAAATATTTTTAATTAAAAATGCTTTCTAAAAGTACGGCCGCTACAATTAAATTCTATTAATATTATAAATATAATTTTAAAGCTTCTAAAGATTATTATAAAAATTTAATAATGACATTTTTATCCCAAATTTCGCATATTATTCCAAGCAATAAATGAACAACAATAAAATGACAACATAAAAAAAATGCTTATTCTAAGTAAAAATGCTTTGATGTCGGAAATAAAGAAATAATTATCATTATCTAACTTAATATTACACCAACTATAACTGGATACTGTTGAAATATTCATCTCATAATTAATTTGAGTTAATTAGAGTAACTCTATAGCAAACTGTAACCGTAGAGCGATTCCTATCATTTCCAACACTGAAAGTGATCCTAATTATTTTGTCATCTTAAAAATATTACTTATTTCATAAATTGAAAGATATATAATAAAACCATAAAACTCTATACAAATAGGAAATTGTGATATTTCTTGAATAATCAAATTTAATTTAATAATATTTCCAAAACAATAATTTCCATATAAAATATTTTTTTTTATTTGGCAATAATTTGCACGTGATAAATAGATACACAATATTTAAAAAATATCTTTAGCTATTTTGAGATACGTAATAAGTAAGGCAATTTAAAACCAAGTTAGTTTAAAAAGACGAAAATATACGAATCTGGAGGAGTCGTATTGCTTTATGCCATTTGCCGTGGAGACGTTGGGCTCACCGAGGTTACTTGTGACCCGAGAGCTGTTAGCTACTTTGCCCAAAGGCCATTCAAAGAGCTGTATTTTTTGTGATTGTGTGTAAATCACAAAAAACAATCATTGTATTTGGATACGCGGCACCTCGAGACAGCGTACCCAAGATACTGGCAGCGTTGCCTCTTTGAATGGCCTTTGGGCAAAGTAGCTAACAGCTCTCGAAAGGAATATTAACATTATACATAATTCATTAATATGTATTATGTATAATGTTAATATTTCTTAAATTATAATGGATACTTATTCATTTATATATAGATTCTATACAGTATTTAATTACTAAATGATGACATACGTAACGAAGTTATACTATATTTGTTAATAAAATATTTTAAAAACTATTCTTACTATACATGTATTAAGGAATGAATGAAGTAGAAGAGTTGGGTTTGACATGAGATCATCATGAGCCTATTCCTTTGATAACATTGTACTGATGAAATATTATACATGTTACAAAATTAATTAGAGCGTTGTGGTCTAGCCGTTTACCCTGAATAACACCCAAGAGTTTAGTTTTTGTCAACACATACAATGTTATTGTGTGACAATTTATTCATGGGACTGACTTTCCGGTGA